TATGAGGCTAGAATACCACTTATATTATATCTCAAGCCATGACTATAATTCTTTACTGGGCAGTACTGGGATTTGAATAATGGTCATGTGCTTACTGGACTCACTTGCTCTGCTTGCTCAGTGGGTACTCTAACACTTGAACCATGCCTTGAAAAAGCCTGGCTTTTTACTAGTCATTTTAGAGATAGAGTTTATCAGGACTTATCTGTCCAAGCTGGCTTCAAACCTCAATCTTCCAGATCTCAGCCTCCTGAGTATCTAGGAATATAAGCATGAGGGGCCACTGTTATTCTTGGCCATTAGATATTCCATGTCATTATCACTGGCAGTCCTAATAATAGTTTTATGGCTGCATTTCACAGGCAAGTACACCAAGGCACAAAGAAATTAAGACACTCAAGGTCATCCTGGCATAGGTAAAAGGCAGGGCTAGGTCTTAAACCAATATAATCTGATATAAGAGCTCATGTTCTTCACCATTTCATTTAGTAGCAGCCACAGAGAACATTTCAGAGCAAAATTCAATCTGTGTTGCATCTACTTTGACCAAATGCAATGATTTTCAAACTTGACATTGCCTCAGTAGTTAAGTTATAAAGGGTAATGGGAGCTCAGCCAGGTTATCTAGTGACTTCAAAACAATTACTTTGGTTTTCCCATCTGTAACGTGGGAACAAAACTACTACTCATTGAGTGGGTTAAATGGGGTAAAAGCACATGAGAAGTTTAGCCTTACCCAAAGCCCACAAGATCATGTAATAAGTGTTTGCTGATGCTGTTGTTATAGTTACTATTAATATTTCACTCGAGCTATGTAACAACCCTGTGAGCAGGAGAGGATTTATATTCTCACTGCTCAAGTTCAGAAACTGAAACTCATAGAAAGTTTAAAAAAAAAAAAAAAAAAAACTAGCCCATGGAAGAAACCAGAAAATGGAAATGCCAGACGTGGGAAACCTTCCAACATCAAGCCTCCTTCTCTGCTCCCAAGGCTCACTCCATCTCCTCTCTTTTCCCCCCCAGGAGGCTCTGTTCTTGAGCCAGATCATTCTTCATACAGGACTGTGGGCAAGTTTGATGGAATTGAAGGTCTAGGCCCAGGGAAAAACTCTGAGGAGTATGAAGAAAGTCCTAAAGGTGCAAATAGGAGCAGCTAAGCAGTGCCTGTTCCCCAAGCAACTTCCAGAGGGCTGGAAATCACACTGGTGATTGATGCTATGCCAGGCAAAGAGGCTTGGCATTGTAGACAAGGGAATGGATGTCTTCAGGCAGGGCAGTAGAGGAAAGGGAAAGCTAATAGGCTAACCAGGCTGTTACTAAACACTAAAATAATCACACACCATTTTAAAACTGCATTCCACTCGGCAGGGTGTATGTTTGCTCTGTGGACCTACATGCTGGTACATGTGCATCATGCATCTTCATCTTCTGTCATTCTACATGCATGGGATGTTAGAACATCCCATTCTCATACATGATGTACCCATTCCTGTGGCTAAGACCAAAGATCAAGACAATGATCAAATCAATCTATCTTCTGAGATGTAAGGTCCTAGCCAGTTTCTTCATCACTTACCTGGGATCTGGAGTGTTCTGGGTTTAAAGCTGGACCTCCCAGGCTGAAAATCATGGGCTTTCCCCACATGCATCATGCAAAGCCCTCACCCTTTTTTCCCTTTTAAGAGAATTATTTTAAGAGCATTCTCTTTTAAGTTCTTATTTTGTATATACTAGTAGAAATAGGGTACTCAAAACACAAAACTTGATCATGTTATTTGTAGAGCTTTATCTTATTAACATACGAATGAGTTGTTTAGCAAATTGCTCTTGGACTCCCAGTAAGTGCCAAGCATTGTGCCTAAGCAACTACCAAACAATGGAGAAACGACTCTAATACAGTTCTCAGCCAGTGATCCCTAGGAGTTGTTTATGTGTACCTTGTGCTAACAGCTAAAAACACAGAGCTACCAATTCTGAATTTCCTCTATAACCTCTACAACATAGTTTAGCCTATGTCCAGTTTTTGTATTGGGGGGTAGGGGGTTGAGTGTACCTGAATATGTGTGTGTGTATATGTGTGTGTGTGTGTGTGTGTGTGTGTGTGTGTGTGTGTAATTCTAAGGCATAAACTCAGGGCCTGGGTGCTATCCCTTAGCTTTTTTGCTCAAGGTGATCTACCAGCTGAGCTAACTTTCAGTTCTGGCTTTTTGCTGATTAACTGGTCATAAGAGTCTCATGAAGGGCTGGAAAGGTAGCTCAGTGGTAGAGTGCTTGCCTTGCATGCATGAGGCCCTGGGTTCGATTCCTCAGCACCACATAAGCAAAAAGAATAAAAGCCGGAAGTGGCACTGTGGCTCAAGTGGTAGAGCGCTAGCCTTGACCTGAGGAGCTGAGGGACAGTGCCCAGGCCCAGAGTTCAGGCACCATAACTGGACCCCTCCCCCCCCCCCCAAAAAAAGAGTCTCATGAACTTGTCTGCTCAGGCTGGCTTTGAAGCTTTGAACCATGATCCTTAGATCTTAGCCTCCTAATTATCCAGGATTTTAAGAGTGAGCCACCAACACGTCTATGTTATTATTATTCTCAGTTTATCTTCATTGTCCAGTTAAAAATGTACATGAAAAAGTAGCTCACACTTTAATCCTAGCTACTCAGGAGGCTGAGATCTAAGGATCACCATTCTAGGCCAGTCTGGACAGGAAAGTGCATGAGACTCATGGCTCCAATTAACCACTGGATGGTGAGTGGGAAACTGAAGTTTAGCTGTGGCTCAAGTGGCTAAGTGGCCTTAAGCAAAAAAAACTAAGAGACAGTACTCAGGCCTTGAGTTCAAGCCCCAGGATGGACACACACACACACACACACACACACACACACACACACACACACACACACACACACACACACACACACACACACACACACACACACACACACACACACACACACACACACACACACACACACACACACTACACTTCTCTAATTAAATGATATTCCACTGATGCCCACAAGGTGGCGATCTTGCTCATAGTTTGCCCAAGCTGAAAGCACTGCTTAAAAAAAAAAAAGTTGTCAAACCAAAAGACAAAAAAATTAAATTCAATTTATAGAGTTCTTATTTCGTGTAATATGTTAGAGAGCAAAAGAAATGAAAATTTGATAAGACATAGTCTCCACACAGTAGGAAAAATGGGGGAGGAAGCTTGCAAGGAGCAGGAATATAATTCCTTTTAATGAATTAATATATTTTGATGTATCCATATGGGAGCCATTGTAATCCCTTCATCAGATAAGAGCTACAAAGAGACATGATATAGCTACCATGTGGTTCTGGAAAGACTGAACAAAGACCCTACATCTCAGCCAATAAGTATTTACCATAGCAATGAGTGGATACATATGGAGGTATGTGTACAAAGTCAGGGCCACAAGGCCCAGATGTGGTTTTGGTGTTGTGTTTTAAATGTCTGTGCTCAGTCACAAACGTTACAGTGTCTTCCTTAGAACTCCACAATATTCCTTCTGTGCAGAATAAAATATGCACAGTGCTAGCTCTTCTAACAGTTGAAAATTTGAAGGTATGCCTGAAGGGGAGAGAAAAAATCATGTAAGGAAATAGATTTCTAACCGTGGCTTTCTGGAGAATTCCATCTTCACACTCCCATTCTTGTATGGAACCTGAGGATGTCCAGGTTAGGTCTGGGCTGCAGCGGGGGACAAAGATGGAAGGCAGAGGGCCATTTGCTTCCAAGAGACGTCCTGCTGGACTGAACCCAAGGATGGCTGCAAGTGGTGTTGGGGGAGTTTTCTTTGTCCTCCTCCCTTTTTCCTTTCAGCCATTAAACCAGTAAGTCAAATGCAATGTGGAGTTGTTTGTTTCCCTGTTTCCTTTTGTTTAAGTGAAAATTACTGATGGGGAATCAAATGACAGAGATTTTTTTTAAGGCTGGTAATACTACTACTAGTAGTAATACTGATAATGATGATAATAATAATAAATGAACTTTCTTGAAGGAGGGAAGACTCCTGAGGAATGCACCCAGGTGACTTGGGTTTACCTTTCCGCTTCTCTACTAGCTAACTGTAGGCAGCTGAGCAAACCCTATCCCTTCTCAGTACCTTTAGCTGCAAGGCATAAACAGCACCACTTCTTTAGAGAGCTGTCCCTGACACCTCTCTTCCCCAGCACCAGGTCTGACCCGAAGATACACTGAACAACGTGAACGTCACTTGAATGTAAGAGATATCTGGAGACTTCAACTCTCCAGACCAGAACCGTGGACACCGTCGCCTGGCAAACGGGTGAACGAGCGAATGAAAGGGGACTGGCCTAGGCGTTCTTACCTGCACCTGGAGAACTTGGGGCTGAGAAGCCTTGATCGGGGTAGTAAGCGGAGAGGTGGGGGTCTGGGGCTGGGGGAGACAGGACATGTCGGTACAAAGTTGCTGGCTGCAGACGGTTCCTCCCGGGGCTGGAGTCTCAAGCTCGGGAGCTCGCAGACATTCCTGGGAATTGAGTTAAGGCCTGGAGAATCTCTCGGGAGGGAACCTCGGGACCCGCGGGGCCGGGGCTCTGGCCTCTTTATGTCGGGAGGGGCGGTGTGTATGGGGGGGTGGGGTGGGAGGTATGTGTTTGAAGTTTACGGTAGACCAGATACTGCCCAAACGAGGGGTGCGGAGGCTTGGCGATCGCCCCAGCCCTCCCCGCTCGGGGGCCCCGGGTGCGCCGGTGCTGCCCCGCCCCACCCTCTCCGTCACCCCCGCTAGGGAGTCGCTGCCCCGCCCGGGCTTCTCCCCGGCCCCTAAGTCACCAACCCAGTGTGGGGCCGCCTCGCCCTCCAGGAAGGATCATCGCCGCTTTAAGGGGAAGAGGAGGAGGAGGAGGAGGAGGAGGAGGAGGAGAGGTGGGGGGAGCGGGGGGCGGGGAGCCGCGGCGGAGGAGGGGGAGGGGGTTCCCCCCTCGCTCCCACGTGGTCCGGGTGCCTGTGAATCGCGCCCGCCCGAGGGTCTCACAGCGAAATACAAAAGCAGCTGAGAAGAGGCGGCGAGACGAGTTCCCAGCGCCGGGCAGAGCGCCGGGCAGAACCCCGCGGCACCCCACGACCGCGATGGGGCTCAGGCGCCCGCAGCTCCGGAGCCCACCCGCTGCCGGGCCCGCCTCGCCGCCTGGATCCGGGAGCCGGGGCACGGCTTGAAGCGGCGGCGGCGGCGGCGGCACCGGCAGGAGCAGCATGGGGAGGAGGATGCGGGGCGCCGCCGCCACCGCGGGGCTCTGGCTGCTGGCGCTGGGCTCGCTGCTGGCGCTGTGGGGCGGGCTGCCGCCGCCGCCGCCGCGAACCGAGCTGCCAGCCTCCCCGCCGCCCGAACACCGACTCCTCCGGCGTCCGGCCGGGAGTGGCAGCCCCGCACCCGCGCCTCGTTTCCCTCTACCCCCGCCCCTGGCTTGGGACTCCCGCAGCGGCTCCCTGAAAACTTTCCGGGCGCTGCTCACCCTGGCGGTGGGCGCAGACGGCCCGCCCCGGAGCCGCCCCGGAGAGCGCCGGCGGCGGCACGTGCCAGCCGGGCAGCGGGGGCCGGCGGAGCGCGCCACGGTGCACGGCGGCGTCTTCTGGAGCCCCGGCCTGGAGGAGCAGGTGCCCCGGGGCTTTTCCGAAGCCCAAGCGGCGGCGTGGCTGGAGGTGGTGCGCGGGGCCCGGGTGGTGGCCCTGGATCGCGGGGGCTGCGGGCGCAGTTCGAACCGACTGGCCCGCTTTGCCGACGGCACCCGTGCCTGCGTCCGCTACGGCATCAACCCGGAGCAGATCCAGGGCGAGGCCCTGTCCTACTACCTGGCGCGCTTGCTGGGCCTCCAGCGCCACGTGCCGCCGCTGGCGCTGGCCCGGGTGGAGGCTCGAGGCGCGCAGTGGGCGCAGGTGCAGGAGGAGCTGCGCGCCGCGCACTGGACCGAGGGCAGCGTGGTGAGCCTGACGCGCTGGCTGCCCAACCTCACCGACGTGGTGGTGCCGGAGCCCTGGCGCTCCGAGGACGGCCGCCTGCGACCCCTGCGCGACACCGGCGGCGAACTGGCCAACCTCAGCCAGGCAGAGCTGGTGGATTTGGTCCAATGGACCGACCTGATCCTCTTCGACTACCTGACGGCCAACTTCGATCGACTCGTCAGCAACCTCTTCAGCTTGCAATGGGACCCGCGCGTGATGCAGCGCGCCACGAGCAATCTGCACCGCGGACCGGGCGGGGCGCTGGTGTTTCTAGACAACGAGGCGGGTTTGGTGCACGGTTACCGGGTAGCCGGCATGTGGGACAAGTATAACGAGCCGTTGTTGCAGTCGGTGTGCGTGTTCCGCGAACGGACCGCGCGGCGCGTGCTGGAACTGCACCGCGGTCAGGACGCCGCGGCCAGGCTGCTGCGCCTCTACCGGCGCCACGAGCCTCGCTTCCCGGAGCTGGCCGCGCTGGCGGACCCCCACGCTCAGCTCCTGCAGCGCCGCCTCGACTTCCTCGCCAAGCACATTTTGCACTGCAAAGCCAAGTACGGCCGCCGGCCGGGGACTTAGCTCTTCATGGAAGACCGGGAGACCCGAGGTTTGAATTCAATCGCACTCACTACCCATGGATGGGGACGGTAGCGACCCACGCCCGGCCAGTGGCCTGAGCGCCAAGGTGTCTGAAAACTTCTTGTGCTTCACCCACCTGTCCCTTCCTTTTCATTCCACGCCTTTTCCAAGTTCGGAGATGGGCGAGATGCTTCACATTCCCTTTCACTCTTGTTTAGAAAAGGATTCTTTTCCGGTGTCCGGTGAAGATTGGATCCGATCAAAAAAAAAGCAACTGGCTGCTGGGGTTGCCCCGCCCCACAACTCTCCCTTCCCCAAAAAGGAAAACTTCCGTGGGAGCCCTTGAGCTAATTCTGCAGTTTCCTACCAAATGCAGCGCTGGTGACACCCCCTCCCCACCGCCGTCGCCTCCTCTCCCCTCCCCGAGCAAGGCGGTGACACTGTCTGGTGGAGCCCCCTTCCTGTGTTCTCCCTTTGTTCCAGCGCAGCAATGGTGAGATCACTGTTCATTGCCGGGATAGGACAAAGAGAGCGAGACCTCCACGCCCTGGGGAGCCCTACAGACCCTGACAATTTGTCTGACTCATTCCTGAACTTCTGTCGGTTTTGCCCCCAGGGGGTGTGAATTCAGGACTGGATCTATCTATGCACTGAGTCACATAATGAATTTCTCCCTGCCCTTCCTCACTGACCAAAATGTTGACAAGGATGATGGTTCACCAGAAGAAGAAGATGGGGGAAACAAAAATTAGTTCCATGCACTTTACTTTGTTTTTATTTTAATTTTTTATTAAGGAAAACTTTTTTATTTGACAGAATTTCCTTCTGTGTATATATGTGCATACAATGTGGTGTAAATATACTAAACAAACTTATATTTCAATAAAAGGGAGTTTAAAATTTAGGATTTACTTCTGAGTTTTCATCTGTTTGGAGGGGGGGCGGAGGGGGGGAGGGACTGATGCCCCATCTGCTTTCAAAATAAGCTTGAGGTGCTTTGTCTTGTGGATGTGCTTTTTACAATAAGGGACGCTCATCCATGGGGTTTGTAGTTCTGGAACTTAAAGAGAATTGAACAAAGACAAGAACTACTTGCCCGTCCATACATATACCCAGCTGAATCCTAGTGTTGGAAATTTGAGGTCAGCCTAGAATGAAGGGAGGAGATAGGAGAGATGGGAGAAAAATGTTCTATTCCCTGAGAGTTAAAACTAGTATGAAATAATTGCCTTGTAACACAGTCCTATAGTAATGATTGAGCAAATATGATAGAACCAGATTGCAGAGTAAAAAATGGCAAATGCCCCTCTATTAAACTTAACGATGGTGGTCACATGCTGTGCATAATTCCCCGGCATTGTAATCACTGTGCATCATAATGTGGACAGACAATAAGCTGAGCACATATTGCAAACAGGTAGAGCAAGTCATAAATTGATTCTTCTCTTTAGTCTCCTGACATAAATTCCATTGCATTCAGGAGATCATAATCTCCAACATCTGGGCTCATCCAGTTCTCTGAAGAGGTTGTATTGTTTTCCAGGTACTAATTGCACAGTGTTCTCAGAGCAGCCACTGAACCAAGAAAATACAGTAAGTACTTTAGTACATACATTCACTTCCTTACTTTTGGGGAATTAAAACAAGAGACTATTTTGGGGTCTTTTTGTCCCAGGGCAGAGAAGGCAATTGGGTTTTATTTGTTTCACAGCCAGTGCATTCTCTATTTGGCCATTTTATTTGGTATTTGGGTCCAAGTAGTGACCCTCTTTTCATTTAATTTTAACTCCTTTAAACTCTAGAAAACTTTTGGTTACACTTCGTTTAATATTTGATTTGCATGTACACTGAGAAAAAAATTAAACTTATACAGATACTTAAGTCTCTGTGCATTATAACAAGGTGTGTAATTTAATGTCATTCTTGCCATCTTTAGCTGTGTGTGTGTGTGTGTGTGTGTGTGTGTGTGTGCGCGCGCGCGCGCACCCATACTGCAGCTTGACTCAGGGCTAGGGTGCTGTCTGTCCTTTAGCTTTTTTACTCAAGGCTAGAGCTGTTCCACTTTAGCTATACCTTTCCTTCCAGCTTCTTTGCTGGTTAATTGGAGATAAGACTTTCATACACTTTTTTGACTGGCTGGCTTTGAACCTTGATCTTCAGCTCTCTGCTTGATTCGTATTATAGGTATGTGCCACCAGTGCATGGTTAGTATTTTTTTTTTTAATGGTTAGTCTTTAGTGCTTTATGCTAAGCCAAATTGCAGTTGGGAGGGGGAAAAATGCTCCATAAACTATTTGTAGTGTATGCCAAATTTTTTCAGAGGATAGTCACAGAATGTACTGATGGTGGCAAATCGATCTTTTTTTTTTTTTAAGACATAGTGAGGCTTCTGATAATTACTTCTTTCAAAAAGAGACATTTTCTATTTTTGATGATTAATAACTATGAGATTTGCTGCCTAAGTTAATGGAGAATCCCACAAGAAAAGGATAAATATCAGAAAACCTGCCTTTCTACCCATCCCATTCATCTAGGGAAATAATGAGCAGAAATAAATTAGAAGTTGCACCAGTTACACAGGAAACACACCCTCCCTCTGAAACAGCTTTAGCGTTGGTAAGTTCTGGGCCAGGAGCATTCTCTACATTCCTCCTATTCATCATTTCCAAGCCCAGACTTGACCATGGTTAACTATGAGCAAGAAACAGCCTAATATAAATAGCTTTTCTTAAAATCTTTAGTGAATCATATCTGCCTGTTGGAGAAATAAGTTTAATTACATGGTGGAATTGTTAAGGGAACCAAGACTTAATTACAGGCGAGTAGTTTTTAACTGTTGCTATTCCTCATGGATAGCTTGTAGGCTATGGCATGGAAAGAGCAATTAAAGTTTTGCCATGGTCAGTGAATGCTTCTAGGGACAAATCATTTTCAAATAGAAAAAAAGTAACTTTCTGGCTGCAGTATTATTTGGAAAGAGTAATGGCTTCTGTAGTCAGACTATATTCTGAATTCTGTCCCTCACCTATTTATCTTCAGCAAGTCATTCAACTTAGTTCCCTCATCTGTGGAATGGAGATTTGATCAGAGTATTATGGGATTTAACATACAAAACATATACGAATGTAATAAGGTTTTTTTTTTTTAAAAAAAAAAAAAGCCCTCACTTTATATCTTTTAGGGGGTGGGGGGGAACATCAACCAACTTTTGTCCTTCTAACTATTTAGTAAACTTCTAATGATCTTCATCAAAGCCAAATCTAGCAGTTACCAAAGCCAGCATCCGTTTTTGACATGTGCTAAAAAAATTAACAAAAATTTAGTGAGGATCATCTTTGAGCACAAAGCAAAAGGCATAGCTTCGACAAGTCCAGAGCATAGGTTTGATCTCCACATGGGCTTATGTGGGTGGTTTCAGGATCCAAGCAGCCTTTCTGCACCAAGGCAGCTACCCTACAAATATGTGAGAGAGATTTAAAAGAAGAGGAAAAAAGTAGATGGTTTATTGCAAATCCATCACCACTTCTGGAAAGCATCAAAAAGTAATGAATCTTTGTGAGAACAATCGTCTTCCCAATGCTTTCTGCCAAGAGAAAGTAGGTAGTTGACCTTTTCTCTCTGGATTTGACTGTTGATTAATTCACTCTGTCGGTGACATCGCTCTAAATTCCATGAAACACCCTCACCCTCCTGTCTTCACATCAGAAAGAAAACCAAATTATTTTAACACATCTCAACATTTCTCAACCTTCTCACTACAACCCACTGCTAGGAAGACTCTTCTAAAGCTTAGAGGTTGATTATGTACACTCAATGAGTAAATATTTATAATATCCAAAGAGTGGCTGGCCCATGGCAAATGCAATATGTGTTTGTTTATTATTAAGGTAGATCATTTTTCCCCTTAAGTCAAAGCCAGAGGCACCTTGAGTCCCGGGCAGGATTCTCTTTCATAATCCACCTCTACCATTACAGTTATAGAACACTTTGTACATGCTTCTGTTTTAGACTCAGTCCCTGAATCTGACAGGAACTGCCTAAAGCCCACAGTCATCAGATGGTTATCTTGCTTCTGAAGATGCCCTCTATATACCTCCCCATTTTTTACAGGGAGGCTGCTTTCTTCTCATGTGGCTCATCAACTTCAGGGAGCAGTGAGCTGTGGAATTTTACAATCTCCTGAGCTACCATGAGTTAGCCATGAGTCATAGATCATCCAAGCCTGGGTACTGATTATTTGCCCCTTCACACAGCTGTCTGCTCCCACAGACCCACTAATCCTCAATGGTAGAAGGGTGATAGGAATGTTTGGGAAGGAGAAAAAGGAAACCAATTAATCTAGAAGCACAGGAAACGTCCCCAGAAGGGAATGGGATGTTAGCTGCCAAGATGGTAAAAGAATCTATGGAGCAAGAGTTGGCATCTACCTCCAAACGTTTTGATAGATAGAATGTAACAGGAAGGATACAGGGAGTCAGGAGACCCAGGCTACTTCTGACTCACTGTATGACTTGAGAAAGTCATTTTTGTCCCATCTCGGGCTCTAGTTGTTTTACCTGAAAAAGGAAGGAATTTGATTAGACCAACAATCTCCATTCTTTGGCCATAATCACAATATAGCACATACTTGATGTTGGTAACCCAACAGACAAAAAGATAGACATACACACACAGAAACAAAAGCTTCATAACAGTATGTGTAACACTCTTTTTCTTTTATTCAATTTTACTCTACCCTATCCCCTCCTCTACTTTCTAACTGTGGCCCTCTGAAGTTTAGAGTCTAAACTAATTTCCTAACTCATCAGTAGGACATAGTCTAAACTGGTTTAGCTGATCAGTCTGCTTCCTCCTAGCTCTCAGATTCTCAGGGAATTTTCACTTATAATCAGTTTACCACTCACTACAATTTTTCCCCAAAGGGCATACGGACTTCAATTTTGTACACACTTTAAAAACAAGACTGAAATGCTTTATTCCAAATATAATTGGGAAATCCACTCAAAATTGTTCATAGGACCTTTTCATAAGTACTTTTTAAATCCCCTGACTATGGAGCAAATAATGCTTTGAGTAAATAATAACAATAATAATAATTCTTTGCATCTCTACATCAACATGGGCCAGGGATGACCCACAAGGACAGTTTCTTTTCTATGTATTCATAAAGATCTGATGTAAGAGTCATAATTTTTTAGTGTGACTGTTTTACCAGTTTCTCTTTCTGTGTCCTGCTGTGGGGAAAACTGCATTAATAAACTATGTCTCAATGCTGCCTCCCTGGAATTTTTTTCTCTGCAGGACTCCACCAAATATAGCAAAGGAATGCCTATTTTATTTATCTTTTCCACTTCATTTCCATTTTGGATATGTCTCTTTCACACTTTTGAAATTTTTCTCTTAATGGCCCTTTATTTTTTTTGGAGGAAAATAAAGCACTAATTGTTCACTGAGAAATAACAATCACACACACATAAATCCTTTATTCCCCTTTTGGGTGAAATAAGGTACATTTTACAGTTTTAACAGTTATCTTTCTCCATATCCCTATAAGTTAAGTAGCTTATAGAACTGCCTTTTTTCTAGTACCAGCTCATACATTTGTCTTTGCTGAGAAATTGTGGGTTCTTAATAGAGAAATATCACCTTTAATTTAACAGCTCTATATTATTCATTTGTCTCTGCCCGTTGTTTTTACCTTCCTTGCAATGACTTTCTCTTCTTCTTAATACC